AATGGTACTTCGGGTTATCATACAGCAGGTTGATGGTACTTCGGGTTATCATACAGCAGGTTGATGGTACTTTGGGTTATCATACAGCAGGTTGGTGGTGTTTCGATTATCATACAGCAGGCTGTAATACTTCAAATTATCATGTAGCAGGATGCAAGATAATACCTGTAAAATTTGAGTTATCACATAGCAGATTTTGGTACAACAGGTTATCATACAGTTTCGAGTTAGATAGGCTCTGATCATTTTTACCATAGTTCCCTAATCATTCCTTATCATTCTGAATCACTTTTAACTTATCAAAGCTGTGATGAAAAATGGTGCGTCGTTTTTTTCCTCAAATTTTTCAACTGGTGATAATACTAGTACTGGTACTAACAATAGTAATACTACTACTACTACTACTACTACTACTACTATTACTATTACCATTATTGATAGGGAAATTATGACTGAGGTATAACATTTGTACCTATTTATTGATTGGTCAGTAGTATTGATTGATAATGCTGTAAATAATAATTAGTAATTGCAGCGTAATTAAGGAGTATCAGTCTCATCATGACGTTCCATACGTGTGCAATGTGTATATTGAGGTCATTCATTGATTGACCAATAGTTGGATATTCTTATGAATGGGAAGAGACTATGATGCTTTTGTTATTACCTTTACATCATTTTCCAACTTCTACTCTTCCTTCTATCATATCATCACTAAATATTATTATCACTTAACACCCATTATTATTATTACTATTACTATTACTATTTATTATTATTATTATTATTATTATTATTATTATTATTATTATTATTATTATTATTATTATCATTATTATTATTATTATTATTTCATTATTAACTATTATTATTCATTATTACTATTATTATTATTTTTATCATTATCATTATTAACTATTATTATATTTTTATCATTATTAACTATTATTATTATACAACTTCTTGCTCTCTTAACTGATAAGAGTTCCCTTCAAATTGGAAATTGTCAAGTCGTATTCAAGATATTTCTCGAAATCTTAAAAAAAATACCATAATGATGAAAATGCGAAGGATCATCATGATAACCATGATCTGGCAAAGAATATTCGGTTGGCATTCGTGTCAGATGTTCGACATCCTCACAAACTGGTGGCTGAAAATAAGATTTACAAATGTTGCAGCTTTTCAAACTTTGGTGAAAAAAGATAAAGCAAAAACGGATTTGTCTATTTATAACAACATGAGAATTGTTTTAATGACTGAATATTACAAAAGGATCATCTTAACGATTACACTATCACCTGCAGATTTAACATCTTTCAGCTTATAGTAAGATGCCTCGCAATATCACAGAAGATAGGTCTACTGTAAAGGCTTTCATTTCCTTTACTTCTTTTTTACATCTTTAGATCGACATTCCCGCATTGCTTCCATCATAATTTCAATCTTTTTAGAAGAACTACTCTGTCCTAAGCTCAGGTATTCTCGTAAGAATCCATTATAAAAGTGTCAACTTACGGTTACATCATCACAGCCACCATCATTCTTAACACAAAGTTGTACAGTACATGTAAAATACAACTGGATTTTATCAGAATACTTGAAAACTCGTGTTTCTGCATAAGCTGTTATGGCCTGGTCATCGTACTCGATATCTGATAGCAGCAAAGGATCCACAACACATCTGAATTAATTCCACCACATTAAATGCTTTTAGAACTCATCTTTTTCTGAAGCTTTGGTGCAGAGATTGAAATTTCACACTATGAAATTTCACTCTGACCTGTGAAGAGCACTGAAATTTAACATTTAAAAAACGCTCGTTATCTAAGAAATCGAAAAGTGGAGGAGAGGAGAAAGGGATGAAAAAAGCCTTAGGATTTCAGAAAACTAAAATTTGAAAAAGACCCTTTATTGTCAACTACTGGAACCTGCTTGCCTTGACCATCATCAACATGACATGAGTGAATTAGCATACCATATATTACACCAGCTTCTAAATATCATATTACTGCAATATGTTTGATATGTGAATTTTTCCAAAAAACTTTTTAAGATGAACTACGGTAATTAACGAACTTTATTGAGTTGTAACTTTTCCGTCAGCCTCTCAATAACAAACTAATTAATGATTTAAAAATTTTATTTTATAATAATAAGGAATATAATAAGGCAAAAGAATAAGGCAATATTTTTATAATAAGGAAATAAATTAATTTAAAAAAATAATCATTTTTACAATGAACTTACCCAAATCGCAATGCCACACATGCCATACGTGATCACCGATGTGTGCAAACCTGACGAACGGACCATTACGACTTTCACGTATCTCATACATACACGTCGGAAGAGCAAATTCTCCCTCGATAATTTGCGTTGTCAACTGACTGAATATTATCACAGTATTACACAAATCCCTTTTCTTGTCGTAGTGCATATTCCTGGAGTGGGGGACATACGGTCAGCCAGCTATCTTTAGCATTCATTTTCAATTACCGCGCAGTTTATTCATATAGCTCACGGGTAGTGCGGTTAGGGCAAGAAGGTAGTTTAGGAAATCGCGCAAGATTGAAATTAAGTAAAATGGTTTACCTAACACCTAATGTGGCTTCTAATGCTTTAACCGACTCAGTGAAAAAGCACCGGATCCGGTATGCTCGATCAACTTCCGTCTCGAAGATCTTAAACAGAGCATCGTTTAAGTCAAGAAGAAATTAGACAGAAATGTCAGACTGATGGCTTTTTTGTTAATTTCTCCAAAATTCAGGTTCTTTTGCTCAATTTCAGGAAATACTTAAAAATTTTTGAATTTCAAAAAACGTTATTAAAGACAGAGAAAAAATTGGGATGACAGCTTACCGGATGGAATGATACGATCAGTGTGAATGTGTAAGCAATACCACGTGGATTCAACTAAATTGAAAGCGCATTAATAGAAACTAAGTTTGGAAACATATCGAAGTACAACTTGAAGAAAAGAATGCGATTAGTTAGTTCCAGGTCATGGTTCATTAGATGCTTAAAAAGCCGACTGAAGACAAAAAAGAAATAATTTTGATGACGGAAAAATAACTTCGAAGAGGATGTATTTTTTAATTTGAACAAATGTTAATTTAAAGTTGAATTCAAAATTCAGTCTGTCAGGAAACAATGAAATTTTTGAGCAAGCAACTAAATACTTTTATTTACTATAATAAATACCTCTGACAGAATTATTTCGCAAAAATAAAAGACAAATGAGCAAATGATTAACAGGCTCTGAATTTAGGTTGCACCATCCCACAGATCAGTTCCCATCATTAGTTTCTGTCTCCTTCGATTCCTCAGTTTAATATAGGATTGCCAAAGCCAACCCCCAACATAGATTTTCAAAAGAAAATTGCCAAACAATACCGTGCGCTGGCGTCGCATATTGCATTCACCAAATTTTAACGAAAATCTTAATTGTTGATTGCTATTTGACAACCCTTCGAGAGTATATAATTGTTGATCTCCCTCATAATGTGATATCACACAATTAGGATTATCACTTTCACCCTTGAAATTTCAAGGTTCTTACTTGACTGAAGGCACTGTTAAAAAATAAAATTCTTTTTGCTCATTAACTATTCAAAACCAGGTATATGGTACGATTGAATGCCTTTCAGTATCAATAAGTATTACCGAGATATATGGTAAGACACGACTTTGTTATAATTGAACAGATTAATCAATATCAATGACCCAAGTATTGTATGAGGTGTAATTGCAACAACTGACCAACACTGAGTATACAACAAATTTGAATGCTAAACTGTGATACCTGGACATATAATCTCCCAAAAAATGAATGCATGGTGACCACATCGATTCCAATACCATCCTGACCGCATTCCACTTCCGGTACCCCAACAACGCTGTTTTCGATTATCCTGCTATTTGCTACTGAATCTCGACATATCTAAATGATGTCAATGTGACCCAATAATTAGAATTTACGACTCTCAGCATAAAACATGAACTTGCTTCCCAACAGCCGAAAAATTCATTCAAATGAACTAATTTACTTTTTGTTTTAGATCAGATAACTATGCAAAATGTAATATTAATGGAAAACAAAAATTATATTGAGTTGTTTTAATGAACTTTCATACATTAATTCGAAATTTTCCTAAAAATTATTGGCATATGATTTGTGCTTCAATTTGAAGCTATTTTACATTAGTTGAAAATTAATTTACTTTGATTTGGAACTGAAAATGAAAATTGAAGATTAAATTAAGCAGGTTTCACCAAAAATGCATTTGCGCAACGGCAACTTTGGTTGAATTAAATTAAAAGTTGACTAGTTTGCTGAACCCTTCGGTCTTTTTTATTTTATTGTTATTTCAAAAGTGTGTGCATCAAAACCAATGTCCACCATGAAACCTGCTTTTCCGTTGCAGGAAATCGAGTCCGGGCCTTGCGGGTGAGAGTCGCAAACCCCAACCACTAGACCACAACGGACACATCCTCCCCATCCTGTAATTAATTCAATTTAACCTGATTCAAATGATCGATTATGAAAACTAACATTGTACATGAGTAATAGCCAAGAAACCATTGCTGTCCCTGTCATACTCAAGTCCTCTATGTCTTGAGAGTCCGAAGCAAACGGTTATTGTTCCCACTTCAGAGCTGTCGTGAAACGAAAGGAAATTTTGAATAAAATGGCTGAAATCATGTCAACTAATGATTTGTGGTCCATATTACAGAAGGGTCTTACTGAACTGAATTGGACTGGAACCGAGAGAGGGAAGAAGAGATTGTATGGGACCGAGAGAGGGAAGAAGAGATTGGATTGGGATTGAGAGATAGAAGGAAAATCCTCGATAGATGAAGTGAGAAAAAAAAGCTTAACTGGGTTAATGGGATTTTGCTGTAATTGCTGAAATTATGCACTGATGAGTAAGAAAATGAAAGAATGAAATAATTATTACTTTTTGATACATTGGAATGTTCTTGTTTTCAAACCCATTACAACAAAAAAAAAAATCATGCGTTGTTCCAATTGTTTTCTGAATTTGCATTGGTCACTTCTTCAGGATAATGTCCGGTAGAATTTTGTGGATGAAAACGACACACACACACACACTAGATTGACAATAAATTGATATTGAAATTCAACAAATTTCTGAAACAAAAGGAAAACATTTGCAAGGAGCACAAGACTGATATAAACAAATCGCATTAATTAGACTTGATTTAGCAGCATATTACATCCTTAATTAATAATGAATAAGCAAATAAGTAATTAACACACAACAGAAGATGGCTTGTCCATGAATTTGCAATGAACCTCGCAAATATTATATTCCAAGAAATTAGATTACAAAAGTACAACTAGAAAGACAATGAAAGCTGCGAAAAAGGTAAGAGTTGGATAATTTAGTATCACTAGAATGGACTGTAACTAATCCACGATCATGTTTTTTGCATAGAAAATAACTGCATAGAATTCTCATATCGAATACTTGCTCCCTTCATTTAGTTTATTAAGTGAAGCAAAACGATTTTTAAATTCAATTAATTAAAATCGCCGCGAGCAAAACCACAAATTAAGACAGTTTCTTCATCGATTTGCTCAGTGTCACTTACCATACATTGTATTATAATTTGATGCCAACAAGTAACAGTTTTTCATCTTTCAGAATTATTTATGAAGATTGAAAATTTTTGATGACACAAAGTGAAATGGGCAGTGTGGTTATGTCACAGACGAATTCAAGAGTAAATTCGTTGGAGAAGCATGAATTTAGTGATATTTTAAATTATTTTATATTTTAAAATAAATTATGTGATACTTCCAGATCATGTAGACTAAGTGCAAACATTGTATTATATTTATAACGCTGAAATTGTTTACATCACAAATAGCTCACCTGTTTTTTGGTAAGATATGAAATGGTAACTTCCTAAAGTATATGAACTTTTATTTTGACATACTCGAAATTTTCCGCTCAGCAGACAGTTTTCAGAAAAAAGATATAAAATGTTCGTTTCATCCTTTTCGTAAAAAAGTAAACCGCCTTCACAGTCATTCAATTTACATCAAATTTGAAATTAAATTCCAAATAGAAAATATGTGGAATGAAAGTAATTTATTAAAATGCTAGAATTGATATCTTGTTCGCTTCCCGCCTACTTGCATCGACTCGTAAAACCATCCAGAAGAGCCAGTATAATTGCCTATTTATTGCATGACAAGAAAAAAACACTTATCATTTTCTCTTTTCAAAAAAATACAACTGTATGATTTTAAAACATTTAAACATTTAAAACATTTAAAAAAAAACATTTAAACGTTTAAAACATTTAAAACATTTAAACGTATGATCTAGGTGCTTTGACTATCGAATAGTTGGAGCGGAAGTTGGGAGTGAGGTGATTGGTACTGCCGTCTGAGATGGTGCTACCACTGATGATCGTTTATGGTGGGCTAATTGTCGCCTCTGAAAATAATTGAAATTTATTCATGGCATTTCATTCAAAAGATAAAGATTGTCTTCGAGCATTGTATACTTTCAAAAGATTGAAGAAGCTTTTGCAGTATTTTACACAATATTGCAACGACATTAACTGAGCACACATTTATCATTTTTAGATTTTAATAAAACTGAAATGTTTCTAACAAGCTTACTTCATGTAAATGTCCTCTTTTAATTTTCTCTATAACAAAGGCGATTATGAAGGCCCATGCTTTTCTCGAAGCTTCCGTTCGGCCTTTTTTATCACCCCAATCCAAAGTGCAATCGATAAACGTTTCCGCCATCAAATTCCAGATTTCCCTCGACACTTGCCGTCGAACTAACTGAAAATATCACCACCTGTAACAGACAGACCACTGACTACCAAACTGTGTTATAATTTCGTAAAAATTCAGAATTAAACTAACAGTTTTCATTTGAAATTGAATTCTCACTTAGAATACGCTCATATAAAAGTTTGCTAACATAAAATTTGTAAGATTTGACTAACATTTGCATGTATAGCACCAATAGAAAAGAGATATCCGGAAACTGATTCTAAATTTTCTAAATTGTCAACAATCTGCAAACAACAAGAGAGTGAAATTATCATTGATCAAATTTTTTCTAAAAAAATAAAATAAATACTTTTAATATAAATATTTATAAAATAAATATTTATAAAATAAACGTTAAACACTGATGTTCCGAGATTTCTTGTTATTACTATGAGCCATCGTTCAACAAAAAAAAAGACAGGGATGATCTCAGTTGATGAGACAGTTCTAGTTAGAATAGATCTAAATTCACAGATTACAATGCTCAAAGATTCAATCGTCCGGAATATCACCCATAATTTGAGAGGAAAACATGGGGAACAGAAAACTGGTAGAGAATAATGCGAACTAACGCTAACTTTAACGATAACTTGATAACGCTAATTTAATAATGCTAACTTTAAAGATGTTCTTTAAGCTGCCGGATTACCGAAATTAAAATTACGTCAGAGCAAAATTTCTATAATAACGAAACAGGATCGAAAAGTCTGTATGTAAAATTAAGGCTAGGAGGAGGATATAAGCTAACAATAGGGGGACTTCACAAGGAGATTTCGGTACTTCTGAGCTGTTGCACCATACACCATGCAAAGAGACAGCCATACCTACATGATAACCCCTCAAAACTTCTCTTCTAATTCTAGATAAACAGTTTGTTTGCAATCAAATATACCAATATGCATCAAATATACCATCTTCTACGCTTATCCGCCGTCCTTTCGGTCACCAGCTAAACCATCCTTTCTTTCCAGCCTTTACAATTTGATACCCACCCTGCAGCATATTCCAGTCCAGCGAAGGACGAAACCTTAGCTGTTACCGAAGGCAACGACAAGAGATTTGTTAATTAAAGTTGGTCGTATTTCCTGTTTACTGCATAACTGATTTTCTTCACGCTTATCAATTTGCCGTTGCTTTATACCTTTTTTTTTACTGTTTTTAACTAGTAACAATGTATGGGCACAATATTATAACCTGAATAAACCTCGATCATTGACAAACGAATTCAACAAAATTAGCTTTCCCGATACTCGCTATTGGGATTCCTTATCATAACATCTTTATCGAAATGTTTACCTTATCCAACATTTCACCGATAGCCTTTGCATGCGCATTATTGAAACTGTCACGATTGGGAAATTGATGAGGAAAAGGACATTTAAAGAATTGATCCTTTATTTTCTTCGACTTGAAAAATATTCCGTGCAACAGAGTTGAGCCAATTACCGTTGGACCTTTTGTCACATAAACTTGACGCCAAATATTTCGTACTAAGTGAATTTGTGCCGATGTAAGAGAAGGCAATGTTTCCGTAGAACGATGTCTACTTAATGGTTGTTCTGCCTGTAATTTGTTAACTGTTTTATTGGATTATCGTATTTATCACTTCTTCTTACTTTCTTCATTCAAAACACTGTTTCTTCAAGCACGATATTTCACTTTTCCGTAAGAACTGGAAAGTAAAGCATCTTATAGCAATAGTAGTTCAATAAAATCTTGAAAATAAGGAGATAAATTCGTTTCAGATACGTAAGAAGGCAAAAGTAATCAAATTTTGCATTACTCGAAGATGCCAAAGGATCTTACAACAGTTCATTCTCAATGACAATACAGAAACAATACTTTCAACAATACTTTGACAATACTTTTGACTTAAACAATGGTAAGTTCATTGAATCAGTACCTGTATATTACAAAGTCTCAAGTTTTGTAATGATGATTTCTTTTTCCTTTCATCTGATTTTTCCTTTTCATTTTCATGCGAATCACTACTTGTACCCGCTAATGATAGTCCACGGTATTTAGTTATTTGATGATCCGAAGCACTTTCATTCGTCAAATCTGGCTGATTGGAAGAAATAGAAGAGGAAGAAGGTATATCACTGCTCTCATCATTTACAGTTACCAGAAAACTGTATGGCTCATCCGGATGTGATGTTGGCATCTGAAATTTTTAAATTTCGAGGAAAATTGTTGAGAAAAGGGGCAAAAATTAATGAATGCCTACATTAATGTTTATAATATGTGGGAGGAAACAATACTAAGAGATGGTAAAATGATTCGAAAGTATTTTTGAAAACAAATCAATGAAAGGAAGGTAAGCGTGGACAAACCTGGGAAACAATGATTGGTTGTTTACGATGTGCAATAAGAGGAGAAGGTGGGAAATCATCGAATTCACCATTAAAATCATCTTCCGCTTCCCTACAATGCAAAAAGTTATGAAAGAAAAGATAGCGAAGGATATTTCTATTAACAATAAAATCATAATATCACTATGCTTAAAACAGCTCTGACCAGCGGAATTTCACGGCCCTTACTTTTTATCATCACTCCCATCAAAAGAACAAGATATCATAAATTGGATGCGATTAAATAATACTAACGTGGAGTCGTTATCCATACTAGTAACCACAATTGTCGGTTTCCTTGACCGCTTATCCCATCGAAAGGATCCTGATGGACTGTCCAGACTGGAATTAACTTGATGTATTTAATAAAACTATTGGTTAAAAATTCAAAAGAAATGTAAAATTTTCATCCCAAGCACCTGAGAGTATGAAATACACTCACCTAAGACTAGATGATAATTCCATTGCTATCGACAACTTTTTCTGGCTCGATATTGAACTGGTGTGCTTCTTTTCCTGCAGTAAATAAGCAGTTATATTAATAGAAATATCTTCCGTTCATTTGTAGATTAGTTAGGTTTCATGGGATTTATCGTGTGAGATCATATGTCACCTAATTTCATTTTTGGGATATAGCGGGTAACGAATAAGAACGAATGCAAGGCGGTAACGGTAAAAAACCAAAGATTTATGTCATACAATATTTACTGACATAAATCTAAAACTTAAGGATACATCCGCGGCCTCGTTAGCTCAGTGGCAGAGCGTCTGTCTCGTAAACAGAAGGTCGCTGGTTCGATCCCAGCACGAGGCATCTCTGTATGGTGCGGTTTTTGTTTCAAAACTGGCACCTTTTATCTGCGCTAAATTTGTCAAGCTTTCCTTACTCTTTAAAATTTCTTATCATCAAACATCGAAAAAATTCCGGTTCTCAACCCAATCACAGATTAACAGATAGTACCTATTACTTATTATCAGTAAATTAAGGGTTATAACTGAAAAGTCATTATAAGCTGAAGGTCATTATAAGTGAAAAGCATATCCAATTCACATGAATTCTTCTTGCATAATCTTTTTCAGCAAATCATACTTTTTGAATTTTTCCACCAATTTTGATACTGTGAAAGTTGAGAGTAAGCGTGGAGCATGTTGTCGATTTCCTGTACTTCTGCTTTCCCTTACATACCTCTCCTAGCTCCATATATCACTCTCATACTATCTGTCCCTCACTAATCGTTCTGTTCTGCTTTTAACGAATTCGACATTATCATAGTTATAGCTAAGTTGTATCACTGAATTCCTTTTAGTAATGCAGCTTAGAAAGGGCCATGGAGTAGAAAATCTGATTCACATACTGGTTTGTTGAAGGACTTCAAAGGAGACCCGATTTCTGTTTGCATATTCAGTTGGCTAATCAGTGGCTGATTAACAAATACCCATAGAGTCAGTTTTATTTTGGTATTGGAGAATAAATGAGATTGATGAGTGGATCAAATGGAACTGATTAGCAAACTTGGGTTATATTCACAGATATATCGACCATCTGAAGTAACGATTCCATCAATCTGTTTGGCTCTTTTTTTATAATTGAATGATTTATCATTGGCGTTAACGTAAATATTATAATATGATTATTTAGTTATGAAGAAAACTGGATTTTGGTCTCCAAGGAGGTGCATGAGTATATATCTGAGCAGTGGTTGGGAATGCTATTTTAGTGGGTTATAGTTATCTTATAATATTTTATAGGAGGCTGACAAGTAGTAGGAGGCGCTTTTGATCTAATGCTTCACCTTATACAGTTCTCCTTCTAATTCTGTAATTCAATCTCATTTGGAGAATAAAAAGGAGCTAAAATGTACAATGGTGAGAGATTAACATTTCAAAAAACAAATAGCAGAGAAATAGAAACAGAGATTGATTCAAAAAATTTAACTTCATTTTCATACTTTTCATGGAATAAATCTTTAACAGTTCTAAAATCTCTATTCCTTCTTCCTATCGCTGTATCAGTAAGTGCAGACCAACTTGTGCCCTTTGTTGTAAAGGTCATTTATAAGTGAAGATGTATTTTGGATACTTGACCAGGTAGAATTGCATTACTGTTATCACTGCTGATAACAGTCTACTCCCCTATGTTTCTTGCTCTTGAGTTTTTTTTAATTCTATGGAACTATAAAATGAATATACATAGAGTTTAGAATCATTGAAAAACAAAGAATATATTGAAACCAACATTATTGATGGTAATCTTATAAGTTTGATAAGATACTTTTGAAGAGGGATCATTCAAAAAATATTTAGGATCGAAATTACAAGCTAGTAAAAAGTGGCTGGAAAGATTTGTCTTAGTGATGAGAATACTAGAAATGATCTCATTAATTGTGGTTAGTGGGATAAATGGACGGGAAATGAAGGAAGTGAGGAGAAGTTGAAAAAAACTTTTTTAATAATTGTTTGATTCATGGTTTGATTCATTCAGGACAGAAGCAGTCAAGTTTAGAAGTTCCGCTCTGATTATCCCTATATCTGTATAATTTTCTTGATAAAATCTCGTTAGCAGAAAGGGAGTAGAACTTTCTTGAAGTGTTAGGTGGAATTTCCAAACTACTCTTCGAAATATGGGACACTTTTCCCAATATTTCAGTAATCATAGTGATGATAGCGTTGGGGCAAGGTAAGCTGATAATGGTTTAACGCAAGGGAAATTACGACTGATGATCGACATGTGAAAGTTGTAAAGCTCATTTAACAGTTGTTGTGGAGGGACAGTAAGTAGAGTACATCAAATGCCTTCGATCAATACTACATGATTTACAAGCGGAAATAGATGGTTTAGAACTTAGATTGAATATTTAAATGCAAATCTTAATCTGAACTTTAGGTTAATCTGGAACTTTTTTTCAATCTGAACTTTTTTTTTAATTTCATAAAAATTTCAATGGTAAAGATGTAGCTTACCAAGCAAAATGTTGAAATAGTTTGAAAGAGAGAAATCAGTTTTTAATGTGAAAAATGGAAACTTTTTAGCTTCAAAAACTAGGTGAAAACCTACCAAGGCTGATTCGATAGCAACCGAAGACTCTTCAAAAAATTCTTCAAAATCGATCGGTTCATTCCCATATTCAATATCAAAATCTTGTAACGAAATGCTCGATCGGTGGTGGTTATTCTCCTCTTGAAAAATCTTTGAATTTTGTTTTTGCTTCCGTTCCAATTCATCATCGCTTCCGCCGATAGGTTTCAAATGTCTTCCGTCTTGTTCGTGATCATGATCCAGATGCAACACAACTGATTGCCATTTTCGGATGGTGCTAATCTTTTGATCCACAACCCACTTCCAGAAACGTTTCATAGTGAATAATTAAGTTCAAACATTGTGGTAAATCGCTCCAGCTCAGTACGATATTGCTGGCAGAAGAAGAGGAAATAAACTGTTTAACTGGAGTTAGAGGCAAGCAATATATCGATTTGGATGACTTATCAGAATAATTCCTGGTGCTTTATCAATCTAAATTGAAATCATAAAATTGATGCTTATTTTAATTAATATTATAAGGGATCAGTCACCGACAGTTTTTACAGGTTCCAACGTCGTGGCCCTAAAGTAAGTGTCGTGACCCTAATTTTCGGTTTGTCTCGTAAACCAACTTTTTTAGCAAGTCCAAAGTTGGATTTCGAGGACCAAGATTGTCACAGTAACTATTCTTCTCTATCAGCTTTTTATGTCCACTCGACTCAAAGCCCTATCATAAAACTATTTTGAAGTATTAGATATATGCTGTCCTTGCATTTTTAAAATAATTTGATGACATAGTATTGTCATTTAAACAATCTTTATAAGATATACATAATTTTTGCGTCAATGTAATTTTTGTTGACAATCTCCAATGCGATCAATCTCCAATGCGATAAGTGGATATCCGCCCATAAAGAAGGAGTTAACTTGATTCTGAATCCAGCCCATACACCCTTTTTTAGATATTTACCGTTGTGCCAGTTGAAAGGCGTATAGGTAACCTTCAGCAAGTAAGATACAGGTATGGAGAGTAGACTTTTAGCAATCGATTTTCAGCAGTCGGAGTATATCTTTACTGGATGATGAAATCTGTGGAGAAGATACGCCACAAGTAAAAAGTGGCCAGAATGCATTAAATGTAATGAATAACCGATCGCATACGATAAAAAAAGAAACGCAGTATGCTTATGGTTAAATGGTAGAGCCAGCAAAGGTTACCTGATCCATTACAGCGGAATTTTTGAGATTATTTTATGAATTGCCAAGTTGTCACATCCTTATTTCTGCGCTTTGCTGTGATAGTGATAAATTGAATTGCTCATATTAAATTCAGTGTGTTGATTCTCTCATTGTTTTAATGAATGTTTTTGATAGTTGCTAAGACTACCAAGTAAAATATCATAGAAAGTTGCTTGTGCTGCAATTTTGTAGAGAGAATTGGAATGATATTAAAGAAAGCACAGAATGCAACCATATTTTGCATTCTGTTGTTGTAGTTGGAAATGAAAATATGATTCAATGTTATCAGCCAAAAAATAATGGAATGCAAACGTAAAATTGAAATTAAATTTTAAAGCGATATTTCGATGCAACCAAAATATTTATGATTGAATGGTTATCAAAGTTATAAGTAGGATGATGTCATAATGAACTCAAAACTGAATCCAAATTTGAATTTATTTTAGATATTCTAAATGTGTTATAAAAGTCGAAATTACAGCAAATAGTATTTCTTTTCAGTATCACTTTTGCATAAATTAAAATTAATAGTATGAAAGTAATTTTCAGAAATGCTTCTTAGCAAATTTGTTGCGAAACTTTTCCATTTCGGCAGATACTCAATTTGAAAAGAAAAGACAATATTTTTGAAATAACAGATTTCGCTTTTTTTGCACAACTTTTTTTGCTTTCCACCTCTTTCTCGTTTCCTCCTTTGTTAGTTGATCAAAAATATTATCAATTTGATTAGGTTATCTCTCCCCTGCGTTATATTTCCCCATCACTATCAATGATAATTTGTTAAGAGTAAAATGACCACTCTTCCCATTAATAAAAGTCATATTTTAGTGATTTATGGTTTAAAATGAGCGAAAATCGGGAAGGTGGACAGTCGCTCGACAAAACGCTTTCAGTTTTGTGAAAAAATTTCCTTCCTCAAATAAATCCAGTTTTTCTGGAAGATGACAAATGGCATTCAAATAAAACACTTACTAATTTTGGTTAAAACTGCAATTTATGAAAAACGATTGCTGCTGTGAGAAAATTGATGATATTAACAGTGATATTATGAACAATATATAATATGAATATTATTGTTTTTTTGCTATTATAATATATATGTTTGCATTGACAATAGACCGGTGGATATTACAGATTGTAAAGTCCGCCCATATTGACGTCGTTTAATTTACTTCTGAAATGCTGCAGACGATTGTTTTATAAGAAGAATGAAGTTAAGCCGATATAAAACACAAATCATTGTTTGTTGCTTAGAAGTGAGATAAATTTAATTGTCTAAGAAATTTTGAAAAATTGTTAAGAAAACAAGCACATAAAATGGGAGCAGAATTACTTAACAAAAGATAAGGATAACTCTGATTGAAATAATTTAATGGAAAGATTGTTGAATGCAACTAATAAAATGATGTATTACAGAAAATATTGGGTTAGAAGTTAAGGATATCTGAAAAAATATTTTCATTTCCTAATTAATATTCCGTAATTTAACTAATAAAAATAAATGGAAGCAAGCTTTCTTACAAATTACTGCTTGGTTTCAATTGCATCAAAAATGCTTAATTGCATCAAGAGTTCAAATTGTACTTTTTCAAATATTTAACCCGAAAACTTCGTTAAATTGTAAATTGTGATGGAGTTACAGTACATCTCCACACGACCAACACAACCAACATGATCACTGTTTGGATTAATTGCAATTGTTTTTCTTTTTTATTTTTACGGTTCCTTCCAAATTTTATTCGTTCTTTACCTCAAATATTGCCATCTCTGGGGAGGTATTAATGCAACAAATATCATTCTTGGGAAAATTTAAGGAAATCATAAATTGACTCTTCCTTTTTCATTTGATCAAACAAATCGTTGACATAAAAAAAAATCCCAAAAGTTGATGGAAGACATTTTAACGATGAAAATGAATTCGAAAAGAAATGTATCCTTTTTTGAAATAAGCAATTTGCATTTCGTAGGTGGAACAGATGAAGAGAATTGCCAATAAATATTCTTTTTTCAATCACTGAAAGACAAGCCATCAAAGAAAGTGCCAATAAATGGAATGCTATGTGCACAGGCAATTCATTGGCCTATTCTTTCAAATTGAAGAAATAACGAAAAAAAAATTGGTAATAATAATAATAATTTTCTATAATAGAAGAGATTTTTATTATTATTTATACCTCATATTCCTTTTCCAACACTTGATGAATTCTCCAAGAAGGTTAAAGGTTAAAGTATAGTATTATCAAGGAAGAGAAAAATCTGACAACATCACTCATTGCATACAGGATGCTGTCAAATAAACAAAAAAAGTGGACAGCAATAATAAAAATATGCAAGAAAGGATGTCTGATAATGAATGATAAACGCACTTTCAGGGTAGTTATTGAAGAATAAAATGTTCGAAGCCAAATGCCTTAGGCTTAAACAATATGTCAAAAGGACTTTTTTTTTCTTTTTTTTTTTTTTTTTTAACAGACACTATAAGATAATACTGTGAAAGATTTCGTTTTCAGAAGTAAACAAAATTTGATGAAATCATTCTGAAGAGAGTACAAAGGATAAAAGATAGGAGATAAATATCATGACATCCTGCAATATAGATATGAAAGAAGTTAAGGAGAGTAAAGAGAGAAGGAAGAGAGTTCCAGAAGTAACACTTGAGGAACTGCAATATGCTTCTCACCTTCAAACAATCCCACCAACAAATTTTTTCTGCCGATGCTTTCCTATCTCAACAAACCAATTGCTTATTTATTGCCCTCTCTCTCTCTCTCTCTCTCCTCCTCCTCTCTC